ATATATATATATATATATATATATATATATATATATATATATATGTAAAGCAATTAATGAAACATTGTAATGGATTCAGTGAGAATGTGGAGGACCTAGCTGCATCACTATTTAATGTTGGGGTGATGAACTTGTGATGGAAAATCAGCAGGAGGGTTTTGGTTTAAGGCAGGCTGGTATGCCTATTTGTGGTATGAAAAAGAAGAAATAAAAAGTTAGGAAGTCACTACATAAGAGCAGCATTAATTGTTAATTGGTTCCAATATATATATAGCCAATCAGGGGTAGTCTCCATCGTCTGCCAACATAGACGGGTTACGCGCCCAAGTGTCACTCGGACGCGGAAGAGAAGAGCGGGGACGGTAGGCTTTTCTCGCGGCTCCGCAGGCAGGAAAAACTTGCTGGAGGGCAGCGTCCGGCCGCGGGCCGCTAGATGCCCAGGTCAGATATATTCAAAATATGTGTGCTAGATCCAGTCTGAGGCTTTTTTGTGAGATTTGCAATAATTTGCGAAAAACTTTTTTAAAATCTATGTATCGCTTTGCTTTGAGTTCAGGTGCTGAGGAACAGATTCTTGCGGAAGTGAAAACAGGGCATCCCGACTGGAGTGAGGATGATGTTTATCAGTACGCACTGGTGCAGTCATCCGGTAAATTGGTTCTTATTGCGAAACTGTTACCGAAATTGCATACAGATGGTCATAAAGTATTGATTTTTTCCCAAATGGTCCGTGTTTTGGACATTATCGAAGAATTTCTTATTGCACAGAAGTTAGTTCTAATTCATGATTTGTACTGACCATCCACAGTGTTTTGCTAATTAAGATATTTCATACGATAATTCTTAAGATTTTCAACTGAAGTAAAAAATATGGGTTTAATGAAGACCAGGTCAAATCCTGCTTAATTTTTGATAATTTCCGGCTTATTATTTTAGTTATACATTCGAGCGAATCGACGGCAATGTTCGCGGTGATTTGAGGCAAAGTGCTATTGATCGTTTCAGTAAAAAAGGTGTCCCTTAAATTTAATCTCCTTCACTGCCTTAAATTCATAATAGTAATCCTTGGGGAAAATTGGATGAGGGGATCATTCTTTGGTACTTATTGTTCACATTGAAGAAGCATATGTTTATTTGTATAACAATTGCAGATTCTGATCGCTTTATCTTTCTACTTTGTACTCGCGCCGGTGGTCTTGGAATCAATTTAACGGCAGCTGATACTGTCATTATTTTCGATTCTGACTGGAATCCACAGAACGATTTACAGGTAATTTAAAAAAAATTATTTTGATTTTAATTTTGTTTGTACATTTCATTGGTTACGAACTAAAATCGATTCGTCAATTGCGGTATTTTTTGTTTTTTATTTTTTGAATTGTTTCGTGATTTCTTGTATATCAAAAACATCAACATATCCTTTTTTTATTGCGTTATTTTTAAAAAAATTTCGTGCTAATGGATATCAGTATAATTAAAAAACCGATTCCTTACAGGCACAAGCTCGCTGTCACCGGATTGGTCAAACGAAAATGGTGAAAGTTTACCGTCTAATTACTTGTAACACATACGAGCGTGAAATGTTCGATAAGGCATCTTTGAAGCTAGGTTTAGATAGAGCCGTTCTGCAGTCTACTACTGCTTTAAAGGATACTTCAGTAAGTCACCGCCCTTCTATTTCTGGAAATTATGTAGTAGACTTCCATCACTCAGTATATTCCCATTAACCTTTCATTCATGCAGAAAATGTATCCCTACTTCGATTTCTCTTGTTTTAGCAGCAGTTATCACGGAAGGAAATTGAAGAATTGTTGAAAAAGGGAGCTTATGGTGCAATTATGGAAGAAAATGCTGAGGAGAGTAAATTTAATGAAGAAGATATCGAAACAATTCTTCTTCGCCGCACAACTACAATAACACTTGAAGTAAATATCGGTTCTTTCATTTGTGTCGTTATCAATCTCTTCGTTTTGTGTCATATTTTCGAAATATTTTTATTTCCAACACTTCAGTTTCACAAGCGCAGTGATTTTTTTATTTCCTAGGTGGTTTTTTTAAAAACAAACAATTTAGTAAATTGGGCTTTTTTTAATATGTAAAATTCTTATTTAGGCCGGTGTGAAAGGGTCGACTTTTGCAAAGGCATCATTCAATTCATCCACAAACAGAGAAGATATTGATATTGATGATCCTAATTTTTGGTCTAAGTGGGCTAAAAAGGCAAATATTGATACAGAAATGAGCCAGGCAGATAAACAGCTGATTGTTCTTGAACCGAGAAATCGGAAAAAAAGGTTTCATTTTAATATTAATGAAAGAATCGCGAAATTTTCGACCTTTTCTATAAAAAATGAACAAGTTCCGAAGTGTTGAATCAAGTTAAGGTCACTAAAGGCAGATATAATCAATGATTTAAATTTTAGATTCGAAGAAAATGTTTACAAATCGGAAGGTGCTGATGATACAGAAGGTGAGGAAAGTGATGATAGCAGTAAAGGTCGAAAACGAAGTGATCGAAAAGGTGACCGTAAGAAGCGCCTTGAGGATGAAGAATATCGACCAGATGAGCTAGCGTTCAATAAAAGTGAATATTTCAAGGTCAGCTCGTATTTGCATCCTTCAAAATTTCCAGTCTTTCTTTTCTGCTGTTTGAGTTGTCTATTCAGAGTTTTTTATTTTGTCTCATCTTTAAATGAAATCATTAGGTTTTTGTTTTTTAATTTCTGTGCTTTATCGCAACTCTAAAAATTATGCACGGAAGTTTAGATCGAAAAGGTACTAGGTCAGTTTGGCTGGGGTCGTTGGAAAGTGATGCGTGAAGCTTCGGATTTGAAGGATAATGTTACCGAAATTGATATTGAACATATTTCAAGGTTTGTTCTGTTTTCTTCCGAAGAAGGAATGAGGTATCTGTTTAAAGTGTGAGGCATTTGGTGACTTTTAATCTTTTAGCTTATTGATTCATCATACCTGTGTAAAATTTGGTTTTTTTTTTTTTGAAGAATTGTATTGTTGATGGATATTTCAGTGTTATTTTCCATGTTATTTGACCCTCTACTCTTGTTTCTACTATGTTGCATGGTCCATTAAATATCTAAATGTGTTACCTACGTTTTGAAATATTTTGATCTTTCAGTAAGTAGGTGGTCGATCCATCAGCTCATGCTATAATCCTTAATAACTTCTTGCTATCAATATCGAAACTTCTGTAATTGCAACATTTGTGCAGTAAATTTTCTTCAGTTTTTTTTTTCAGATTTTTATTTAGTTTGATTTATAGGACACTGTTATTACATTGTATTCGTGAATATCGTGGGGATGAGAAAATCCGTGAATTTGTTTGGCGGCTGATAATCCCAAAAGGAGGTTTAGTTACTGGCAAGAATACAGAGAAGATGAAAAACACTGGTTTGACATCAGTATTCCATGAAGGCTGGGCAGCATTGCCGGAATATAATCCGCCAGCTTTTGCTGTTGATTCGTCTTTCCAACGTCATGTTCATCGCCATTCAAATAAACTGTTGATTCGGATGCACCAACTTCATATATTAAATACCGAAGTGAGCAAATCTTTGTGTTAAACTTTCAACATGGAAATATGGAAATGTGTTTTATTGAACTACCAGATTGTCTGCTATTCTTATTAGCCATTAAAAAATCAACGTCAATTACTTTTTTCCGGACAAAATAGACTCCAGACCATCTCTTATGACTTCAGAGTTATCACTGGGAGCTAATCGAAAGGCTTTCAGGACCTCTCTCTTTACCGGAGATGCGTTAAGCTGATGGATTAAGATGTCATGGTTCCTTTAAATATTAACTGTTTCAGAGTTTACATGTAATTTCGTACAAAAGTCAACTTTGTTTTGAGTTGATTCTCTTGCCTCCAAAAATTGTCTATAAATTTAATTTTCAGATAATTGGTAGTAAGAGCGAAACAATAATGAACAACGCAAAAGCAAAGGACATCGATTTGTCAGTTGATATGAATGATGCTTTCGTAGTTGGTTGGGATGCTGAATGTGATAAGAGTTTCCTGATTGGAGCGCACAAACATGGTAAGTTCGTTAATTCCCTCTCCTTGATGTCGTTGCTTTTCTAACTCTTGTTGACCGAATCAACGAATGGATTAAAGATAGATTCAGTGATGTTGTTATCGCACCAGTAAATTCGCTAATTTGATTAAGCTAATCTGAGCTGTAGTTCATTAAGATTTTCTGTTTCACTCTTGTTTTAACAGTAAGTACATAGTAGTTGGTCAGTTATTTAAAAAAAAATAAAATAAAATAAAGACTTATATGTAATAGTTTGCTTAAAAGATCTATTTTATTTCTCATTGTTTCACGGAAGAAATAGTTTATCCAACTTCATCTGTTTGCCAGTTTTACAGCATCTATGGAGATATTTGTTTCTGGGCAGTAACAAATTTTTTCAACCATAAAATTAGTTTCGAACTTTTGTGGAGTGTTCTAAACGTTTATTTTCATTTTTCTATTTTCATCTTTTTTAGAAAAAAAAATTTCAGGTCTAGAAAATATCGATGCAATGCGTGTTGATCCAACGCTTTGTTTTAGCTCGAAAAAAATTGAGGTTTTCCCGAACATCTCGGATCTGTTGAATCGTTTCCGGCGTCTTTTAACACATTTCCAGAGAAAGCGACATGATTCATTGACATTTTCAACGTAAATTTGGCTAATTAATTCTTTTTTTGAATACACAATTAAGCTTGATAAGAGATGCTTGTGTTGTATGATCACCAGAAGTTTTGTTGAAGTTTTTTATATCTTAACTTTGCATTATAAATGCTTTGGAAATCCAGGTGGACTAAACGTGAAGAGGCAGAATTTATGCGTGTTCTGAGAAGTTATGGAGTTAAGGATGATCCATCTACAATTATTTCATGGACTCGCTTCCGACAGCTTTCTCCACTTCTAGAAAAAAAACCGATAGTGATCTGATGGAGCAGTTGTACTGCGTATTGTCCATGTGCACAAAACAGCTCGGTAATGAAATAACAGCCGTTGATTTACAACGAGCCTTAAAGGTTCGGTTTTATTTTTTCACACTTTTTTTTGCTTCCGTTCACGACATTTACGTTTTACTCCAGGACTTTAGAACACTTTAGAATTTTTTCCTAAAAATTTCATGCTGCTTTTCTGAATTATAGAAGACAAATTTTAGAGGTCTAGTTTCCCAATTTTAATGGGAACCTTTTAAACATTTGTTCTGATAGCTAGTGTTTATGGTTGTTTAACTTTGCAACGATGATTCCAGGTAGAATCGATTTCGGCACGTAAAGCACAAAAACTGATGCATCGGATGAATATGATGCGACAGATTCATGATTGGCGAGAATCACTGACTGATCGACGAACACTCCTCAAGCTCTGTTCTAACGAAGCGATGCCAAGTGGTTGGTCGGTTGAACAAGATGAAGAATTGTTCAAAATAGTAGATGAACATGGTCTGGACAACATAGCTGCTAATATCCTTAATAGGGCAGCTTTTCAGAAGGTTATAATACTTTTGATTTTTTGTATTCTGTTCCAGTTTTGATGATAGGAATTATATAATGTTCTGATTTTTGTGAAATTTTGTTTTTAAGATAATAAGACCAGAAGAACGAACGTTGCTGAGACGTGTTGCTGAGATTTATACTACTCTTCAAACAAAGAAATGGAATGGAGCTGCTTCCACTGAATTGCTCGAAGATTCTGGTATGTGGAATGATTGTTTTGTTTACTAAATTCGAATTTCCATTTTTATTTAGAACTGTGATGAAATTGTCATTTATTGAAAATCACAACTTTACTGAACTACATTTTTTGCTAATAATTTGTTTCAGACGATGAACGGGGGACGGCAATGTTACTACGCTCAAAACGGGGTCGCAAGAAGAGTGCCGTACCGGGTTCTGCAATACAAGAATTTGTTGATACGGAGAAAGAAAAAATGCGTGCATTAGTACATCAAACATTCTTGCAAAGAGTATGACATTCTTCAAGAAACCTCTAAATTGAAGCTTTCTGGAAGAAATTTAAGCTCTCGTATTTCCATCAGATTCAATCTTTTTTTTAGCTGGAACAACTCCCGTTTGCTGCAGCGGCAGCTATGGCTCAAGGCGCCTTTCTTCTTCCATCACTTTTATCGAGTGGTGGAACATCTTCAGCAGGAGCATCTACATCAGCACAGGCGCAGGCAGCAATGCTTTCCAGTTTATTTGGACTTTCTCCTGCATCACCTCCAACAACACCAGCTTCCATGAACATCAATAAAACAAATGAATATGAAGAGGATGTACTAAATTTGAGTACGAAGAAATCATCAAGCAGCAATAACAGCCATGCAAGTCAACCGTCCACTTCTGGCATCTCTGCTCAGCCTACAAATTTTCTGAATAATTTAAATTTTACTGAATTGTTTGCATTGGCAAACTTACCACCAGGTGAGCTGTACTTGTATCATAAACTCACGGTGCAGATTAAGAAAGCAATTCGTGCAGATTAAGAGGACGTCTCGAACTCCTTTTTGATTTCAATCTTTTGCATCATAATTTTAATCCTTTAGTATTTAAGAATAAAATTTTTTCCACTCCCTTTTTCCCATATAAAATATACTTTTTTTCCCCGTTGTTTTACTGCTTCACATCTCATTGCATTCTAACATCTAAGCACAAGGAAAAATTTGACTATGCATTTTTTCCAGAAACCCGTGTACCAGTGATTAATATTGAGACAGGTGCACGATTGGTTGGCGAACAAGCGCCAAAAGTGAAAAATCTTGGACAGTGGTTATCAGCACATCCCAAATATGTGCTCGATATTCCATCATCGACACCTTCAGTAGTTCCTTCGATACCTCAGGCAACATTCTCAAAACAAGCCGAAAAAAGTGATGTAAAATCTATATCAGCAGTATCGGACAGAATTGCTTCAAAAAGGGAAATGAACAAGGAAACCCATTCTAAGGTTTTCACATAATGGTCCACGATTTTTTTTTTCTGCACATTTAGCATTAAATAGTTTTTTCAGTGTGTTTAAGGATTTTTAACTTTTCTAATGGAAATTAATTTTTTTACAGGAAGAATTATATTCTTTTATATGTATAAATGTTGAACCATTTCACTTATCAAAAATAATTCTTGTTATTCATGATTCTGTAATTTTGTTGTGTAGGAAGTGCTTGCGACCCAAACAAATCCAAGTTCATCAAAAGCAACGGCAACAGCATTAATTCTGGAACCTGGTGAAGTCCCTCGTTCTCCCAGTACCACTACAGCTTCGTCAGCAGCTTCAGTCGCTTCACGTAATATTACTGATCAGCGGGCCGCTGTTTTTCAACGTTCTACTGGTACATTGATTTCGGCCGATAAATGGCCGCTGCTGAAGAATCTTGCTTCATGGCTCGACAAACATCCGGATTGTAATGTACACTCAAGCAGTACTTCATTAGCTGCTGTATGTTATTAGTTATTTATCATGTTTTCTATGACATAATTCTAAACAGGGTTGTGGTATTGCTTCACTCGACATGCGAATTATTAATTTATTCATTCTGATATGACTTCTATTAGAACTTCGTCAATCGTTTGTACTAGTAAGCAGCAAGATAATCGTATCACTAAAGATATTTTAGACAGTTCTACCGAAAAATTACACTGATCGTTTGAGTGATGATACGACATCCTTGTCCTCATCCGCAAATGGCTTGGAAGCTTTACAAATGCAAATGATGCTCCAGCAGTCGTTAATGAATCAAACGCTTCTCGGACTTGGAGCTTATGGGCCACTTGGATCATATGCAATGCTTGCAGCCGCAGCATCTGGTTCTACTCAGCCGAGCAAGGTTAGTGTTAAGGCATATGATGCTCTATTGAAAGCGATTAAATCTTCACTTTTCCTTGATCACTGTGGCATTATATCGCTGGTTGTCTTTGCTTCTTCTCTTTATCAATGCTTTTCAACTTATGGGTTGGTAAGCACTGATTCTTAATATTGTTTCGTCAAAAAATTGGGATGTTTAAGAGATGCATGTGCAGTGATATTCTGAGATCTGGAAGGGTGAAGGTAGGTCTTTGAGGATGCTGAAAAGACGAAGAAGGAATCCCGAAAAACACTTTAAATCGCTTTGAGAGAAGTTGCGTTATTCTTTCCCTGTATTTTCTTTTTTGGACTGAAAGGAAAGAGTTATCTTGCAAACTCGAACTTTTGTTGACTGACCCCTCTTGAATGAATCAAGTTTCAGAATTCATCGAAGGATGCGTTGAATCCGATGCTTGCTTCACTAATGAATCCATCGCTGCATTTGCAACAGATGCAATCTCTACTAACTTTGGATCCATCATTACTGCTCAGTCAACCGTTTTCCTCCATTGCAACAAGTAGTAATACGCCGCCAATTTCCGGCTTAAATGTTTCGTCGGTTACAAAACCGCCGATTAATACCACTATTACTACTATTGCTACTACTGCTGTTGCTGCCGCTACGAATAGTGTTGCTAGTGCTACTGCTACCACTAATACTGCTGCTACTACTACTATTACTACTACTGCTACTACTACTACTACTACTACTACTGCTACTATTACTACTACTACTACTACTACTACTACTACTACTACTACTACTACTACTACTAGTGTTGGTACTGTTACTGCTGCAACAACAGCTACTGCTATTACTGCTGCTGCTTCTACTGTTCCCACCACTGCTACTACTATTATTATTGGTACCACTGCTAGGACTACTACTACTACTACAACTACAACGGCGAAGAAAGCATCCAGCAAAGGTCGTTTAAATGCTGTCGTTGAAAAGCTGTCATCGAATCAAAGTTAATAATTATCAGCATGAATCTTCCAGTCAGTGATTTCGTTTCTAGCGAATAGTTTTCTTCTCGATCGTCGATATTTGCGCCAGCTGGTTTGATGGTACTGCAGAGATTTATTTTCGGCACTGAGGATAAGCGAAGAAATGCAGTGAAGTACTGAGAGCGGTTTTGTCGGGAGGTTTCAAGTTCTTTCTTCTGGACCGTATTTACAGAAATTAAGAAGGAGAAGTACTGAATTGAATCATTATCATCTGTGAAAAATAAGCTGTTTTTTAGGTAGCTTTGATGTTTTTATTTCTTAGTTTGTTGCCGATCTCCAACTATTTGCTTATACCTTTCCCTTGTTAGGTACCTATTACGATGCAATATCCTATTTGTGTAATATGAAGCGGTTTAAACAGATGTACTCTTCATGATATAAGAAAGTAATGTAAAAGTAAACTAACAGCTTGTATGATCTCGTTTTTTCATTTTGATAGCGTTTTGTGTGGGTGGTCTGTGCGATCTTCTACTGTTGTTCCAATTTCACTGTTGTTATATCTTGTATTTTTTTTCACTAAAATTTTCAACTTAGGATTGCAGTTGTATTGAATCACTAAATTCGAAAAAATGTATATTCTAAAAAAGATTTTTCTTCTGCACGGTATAGTATAATCATAGGAATCGAAATTCTGCTCGAAAAAGAAGATTCTGATTTGGTCTTTTCACCCGACAGGTCTCTTGTCAGACCTCTAATTTTCATTGTTTTTTTTTTCTCAGCATTATGCCTGCAAGTCTATTAAGTATCTATGAAATGACGTGTGACTTGTTTTCCATAAATGTACTCTAACCCGCAATCTGGATCATACCACAATGTATATACCAAAATTAACATTTTTTATAGACAGAATCCTTTAATTCATGAAACTTTTTTTTTAGCATCCATTATACAGTAGATGGTGGTCTTTGTAAAGTTGCAAAAATATTTTTCAACCATATTAATAGTAGTTGTTACTTAAGTTTGACCGGTTGTTTTGTGAAGCTGTGTCTTCCAGTATGAGCTGATTTTGGCCACAGTTGAACCCTTACCCCGTTGAATCAATCTCACGATCATCTGTTAGAAATTTTCTGGGGAATCAGTCCATGAATGGTTTAGGTTTCTTCACGAATCATGAAATGGAGTTGGCGGGTTGTACCAATACTTTTTTTGGCTTGTTTGACATTCCCAAAAGGTCCTATCGTGGATTAACGGTATGTATCCTTTGACGGTCCCATAGTTCAATGAATTTCCAAGTTGAAATGCTGCAGTCCCAATCAGTTTCCAAACTTTCTACATTTCGAGTTGCGAGATTTCCTGAAATTTTCGTTTCTCTTTTATTTATTTTTACACTGCTTCATAAATAATTTTTATTGATTGGAAATCATTAGAATTGTTGAAATGTAAGTTGTAATGTCGTTAATGTTTTATGTTATTTTAACATGGTGTGTCGTGTAATTTATTATTATTTTTATTGTTATTATTATTATTAATTATTATTATTATTAATTATTATTATTATTATTAATTATTATTATTATTATTATTATTATTATTATTATTATTATTATTATTATTATTATTATTATTATTATTATTATTATTATTATTATTATTATTATTATTATTATTATTATTATTATTATTATTATTATTATTATTATTATTATTATTATTATT